ATAGAACGAGTATTCCTTCCCCTTAACTTTGTCGGATAAAGTTAAAGTTTTAAAATAAACCCAGTTAAATATTATGTTATTAATTATTTCCAACAATAAATTATTTATAGTTTTCATTCAAATATGTATTGTTGTCCGGTATGTTTGTTTTATCCATAAACGGATTTGCGTATGAATAAATTATTAGCCACTGTGTGCTTTTTTATCATTATTATAATTTTTGTGTTTGATATTTTCCAATATTTCTCACCGAAAAAAAAAAACGCCAATAATTACTTGCAATGGTTTAAGTCTCTTTCATTTGAAAAATTTACAGTATACATAATGCCTATCCCCCTTACATTCCCCGTCAGTTAATGTGAAACATGTTTTAATCAGCACTTGAATTAATTTCTTTTGCTTTATATTATTTTATATTTTATATTATTTTATATTATTTTATTTCTGGCATCACTTTCACTTTCTTTCACTTCACCAACAAAACGATTCGTTTTTACATTCCATCTGTGCTCATAACGCCACCGCTTTAATTGAAAGAACCATTAAAAAAAATTACCTTCAGTTTAATACGGTCAAACTTCCTATAACACGAACCTGCGCTATAAGAAACTCGGGCTCAACGTGCAAACTAGTTTCATTCGTGCCGCGTTGTAGGCGAACCGCATCGAGTGAAACTCGGAATCATTTACCGAATCAGTTTGATTCGTTCTGCATTGTATGCCGCAGGTGATATACCGTTTCACACTGCCATAGTTTTCTTTATATTCTCCACGAATTTTAGATTCACTCAAATTTATCGATTTTGTAACAGAGGATAGTCTTTCTCCACCCTTGGATTTTGCCATCAAGAATTATAAACTTTCTTTTCAACTGTTTTCTTGCTTCTCTCGAGTCTGACATTATGCAAATCTGGGATCCAAAAAAATTACGTGTAATTTTACCTAATTACGATAAAACAAACTAAGCTTTATTGAATGCTAATCGTGATACATACGTCTGCGGGGATTACCAGACAGTTGATGACAAAGTGGATGATTGCGACAGCGAAAGTTCGGTTTAGGGGAATTCCCTGACAACAGAAAACGGCGAACTGATGAACATTCACAGAGAATCTTCTTAAACCAATCAAGTTGATCGAATATTGTTGAACGCAAAACGTGTTATAAAAGGACCGCGTTATCTGAAGGTTGGACTGTGGATGTGGAAAAAACCTCCGTCCCATATGTCTATAAGTGATTATTTTATTCTTGTACGTCTCGTTAGGAAAAATGTTAACGACATAGTATACGAACTGTGCTACGGTAAACGGAAAATTATCATCAATTTTCGAGTTCAGACAATCGGTACCGCTTTTACATTGTTTATGGATTTGTTTGTAAGTAAATATATCTTCTTCGAAGGATCGGCTTTGCATATCGCTGACGGGGACACTTACAAGGAGCAAGAGCTTGAAATAAGAAACCGCATTCGGGGCGAAACTCTAATAATCGTTAGTTCAAACCGATGCAGAAAAATTGTAAATTAACTTGTTAGTCGCAGCGTAACCTGGAAACCTCTCAACTCACCTCAGGTTCTCTTTAAACAACTCGTACAAGTCATACCTTAACGAAAATTTTAAGTTATCCTGATAAACACTTGCTACGCGCGGGCGTATTATCCCCAAACGCTACCTCTTTATGGCTATCTCCAATTTCTTCTCTCAATTCCTATAAACGGATCCCTTGCTCTCATCCTTCGCGGATACGGAAATGAAAATGCGATTTTCATAGAAAAAGAAAGAGAGTTAGAGAGAGAGAGAGAGGGTGGGAGCGAGAGGGAGAGATGGAAAGAGAGAGACAGGGAGAGAGAGAGAGAAGATAAATCAATGCTGAGAATAAACTCTGTGAGCAGAGTCAGTTCACCAGTAAAGGGATTCTAATACTTTAAACTATTATTTCAAGGGGTAAGGGTTTTGTTAAAAAGCTCCCACTCAAACGTGACATTGTCAGAGAAAGTCTAAAATGAAAAGTTAACAAACAGGAAATTACGATTTCATGAGTACTAGTAGAGTAGTTGTTTTGTCCGCTTAACAGCGATTCGAGATAGAATCCCTAAAATGTTAACAATTGGACTTTAGTTTCTGGAATTTGAATTTTTTTGCAAGAATACAATGAGTCAAGACATCGATTATTTATCTTGGATCGTGGAAATAAGTTAAAAAAAAAAAAAAAACAAAAAATTCAATAACGAGGATAATACTAATCCATTTAATTTTTGTCAATCGTCTCGAATCTAATCAGTTGCACCTTACTGTATAGGAAGAATATAAAAAGCAGGCGCTTTCCTCTAAAATAAGAAAATCGCGTTTTAAATAAATAAATTCATAACAATATTATTTACAAAGTTTTAAGTTTCTTATGTCAAAGCAAAGTATTTTTATACTCATAAACATACGATCAGGATGTGCTTTCGTTCGTAACTCCTTAGCCTTTATTAGGTGACAATGCATTAACTTCTTAATATCTTAACCGACAGACAAACAGGCAGGCAGTTAGACTAATAGCTAAAGCAATTCATTTATGCAAGATCATATGCATATACATGTATACACACATTATATCTGGCGGTCTGTAAGTAAATATTAATAAAGTCAATTTGATTATATTATCATATTTGCTATTTATCGTAACTTGTTGACGACATCGAAATTTGGATTTGTTTTAATAAACTTGATATTACAAGTATTCTTGTAAACGTAGTAATAATTTCCTAACCCAGATATGGGCAATTGGTAGCCCGCTACCGGCTACCAGCCGTGAACAATTGCGCATTTTTAATAATAGTTGGACCTGGACATAACTGTTTACAAATAGACAAGACAAGGTGTTGCAAAAAGATGAAAGTTTGGAAGCAATTCCTCAAAATAGCTACAAGCGAATTATGTTCCAATTATGATGTAATAAGAAATCAGTAACATTATCAATTGAATTCATTACATTGAAGTTTGCTCAATATGTTTATTATACTCATTTTCTTACTTGTAATAGAAGAAGAAAAATGTTGATTAAAAATTTTAATTTTCATCTTTTGCTTGATCCATTCAAGCTTTTCTCGCCCCTGCTACGATATAAAAATGAAAATATATATTCTTTTCGGTCCGTTGATGAAAAAAACCTCTGCATTTATACCCTTAAACGGTAGTAAATGTCTTCAAATTTCACATCAAAATCTACTGTACATTTAACGAGATGCCCTTCTTCCAAATCCAATCCCAAAAAAAAAAAGTCGGATTTTTTTTAATCCGAATCAAGACATTGTTTACGGAATAGCATAAAATTATAATGAGGACAATTGGCCATTGATAATTATATAAAAATTATAGGCAGATCAAGTACATACATATATGCATATTTGATAATAAGTTTGTTGCCGGCTTTTGCTTAATTATAGATAAGAAATAAAAAAATTTAAAAAAAATTAATAAATAAAAATAAAAAATCCGGTCTTCCATTAACTTTTAGCGTAATTTATTTATATTTCGTTTTAAACGTTCACAAAAACCCCATAGGAGGGGCACCCATTTGATTGCTTCTGTAGAACAATAGAAAGAATTTATAGATTTGTAGCTTATTTTTAATGATGAGTAATTATTATAATCATTAGTAAAAGTAAATAGAAAAGATAGATCATACGGGTGCGTACGTTTTGTCGTACAAATAACTTTTTTTTTTTTTTTTTTTTTTCATAACAAATTCGCTTTTAAAATGATTTATATATCGTTTTATAATCTTTTGATTGATAGCATTTTAGTTTACTACCTAAACACAGTAAAAAAAATATATATATGTATATATATATATATATATATTCCTCCCCCGTTATTATAACTATTTATTTAGATTACGCATAGTATTCTAAAAGTTTCTTAAATCTCCGTAACGTTAACAATATTTTTACATAGGTCCTGTATTTCGTGTACAGTGACCATATAGCACTTAATTTATATTCGCTTAATATGCTTAATTTTAAAACATGTAATACAGAATTTTTCGTTTGATTTTAACGTTTTTGCCACTTGCGTATATCGCATTGACAACATTGAATCGTCTTCCTTTCTTTTTCATGCATATTACAAGTAACAACAGGTGGTTTCAAAAGCTGTTTCGAAAGTACATTTGTTTGGAATACATCGCTCTCCGCTTCGCCCCTCCCCTATCGTATGCAACCTTTCAACCAATTTGATTCACATTTTAAGCTTTGAGTTGTACTTTTAAAAAAACACAATACACGAAATACAAACACTCTCACGTTCCTTTGTTTTTCTTTCGCTCGCTCTCTCTCTCCCTCTCTCTCTCTCTGTCTCTCTCTCTCTCTCTCTGTCTCTCTATCTGTCGCTCGCTCTCTTATATTCGCTAGCTTTCGTTCTGCCTTTGAAATGTTCTCAGTAGAATTCGTTTTTCATACTTTACTTTAAGCTTGTGTGTGATTGAATGAGATATAGTCAGAGAGTGAGAAAGTGAGAGAGGGAGAGAGAGAGAGAGAGGGACTGCGTTTGTATAAAGCAAAGCAACGAATGACTCAAATATTGCTATTATTATTGTTTTTTCGTGTTTTTGGTTTTTGCTCGTTTGTGTTTTTAATTTTATTTACTTTTTGTTTTTTTTTTTTTTTTTTTGGGGAAGTAAAACCCAAAGCTTTCAGGTTATTATTGCATTTTAGTTATTTATGTGGATAAAAATTGTGTCATACTGTTTTCAATTTTCATGCACAACAACACAAAGCAGTACGCAATTGATTTACCAGCATTAAGGACTTAAGTCGATTAGTCGATTGAAATTATTGAAAAGATTTTAATATATTAAAAGACAAATAGATTGAAAAAAAATATAAAAAAAAAAATTAATTTAGATAAAAAGGAAAAAATGTAATTGTTTTTTTTTTTTTTTTTTTTTTTTTTTCAAAATATTAGTTTTTAGTTAATTTTGAATAAATAAATTTTTGTTTTTTACTGTTCGTTTTAGATGGTTTCACGGCAATCTTTCTGGTAAAGAATGTGAAAAATTGTTATTGGATCGTGGAAAGAATGGTTCATTTTTGGTGCGTGAATCACAATCGAAACCTGGTGATTTCGTTCTATCCGTACGTACTGACGATAAAGTAACGCATGTCATGATACGCTGGCAGGTAAGAATAGTAAAAAAACAAACAAATTCGAATTAAATTTAAAAATTTTTCCTTATTGCTCTTCTTTTTTTTTTTTTAATGTACATATATAAATATATAAGTATATCGTTGACCTTGAAATGTTCAAATCAGTTGTAGTTGTTATTATCGTTGCAAAATTTAACAACAACATAATGAAACAGCAATTCTAGGTAAACATCAATAGTCCCAACAATAACAAAGCTTTAGCTAAAACTTACTTAGAAATAATAATAGTATTAATAATAATAATAATAATAATAATAAACAAGACAAAGTTAATGGCTTAATTAAATATATGGAATGCTTGAACACCTAGCTGGAGGTGTGAAGTGTAAAAGTCACCCGTATTCTATAAATAGACAGAGACGTAGCTAAAAATGATTTAGTTTATAAAACGTTTGTCTTATCATAATTTTTCGGCCTTTCACCTTCTCGACGGATTAAATATATTTGCGACAAAAAAAATTTGTAACTTTTCGAAATATGTCAAGACTTCATGATATGACTTCTTAAAAACCATGAGCTTTTACCTTGTCATAAATATGTCGATTTAGAGTCGTGACTATCAGGCGATCAGTTATTTTAATGGTTTTTTTTTTTTTCTATTATTCCTATTCCTATTCTATCCCTAAAGTTGGAAAATAACAAAATCGACAAAAATTCATGAAAGACTTATTTTTGCAATTCCGGAAAATTGAACTAAACAAAAATGAAAAATTTACACAAATGGAGAACTAACCGCACTTGTAATTTTATGTTAATTGAGGAAGTTGTTCTAGAGCAACATTGGCCATAAATCAATTTGCCTACGTATTTTGCTGCCGCTCTGAGAATCTCTTAAAAGGTAGGATGCAGCAAATAATATCAAGCTTGATTATATGGTCGTGTTGTAGCTCTCAAAATTGCCGTCTCCTGACTTGGATGATTGTTCTGGTATTTCATCGTTGACTGATCTCTTTCACGTGCAACTGGCTCTTTATTTTACGTTGTATTACACACGACAATCTGATGTATAGTGAAATAGATGAACTTGGTCTTCGAAAATTGTTTTATTTTCCGGGAAGATTGATTACCAAGGAAGCAACATTTTTGCTCTCATCGAAAGCATGTTAGCTTTAGAATTAATCGAATTGTTGATCAGTTTTCATGAAAGCGTTTTATTTTTCGGATGATTTTTAAAATTTCTTTCTCTGCAATAAACATTTTTTTCGATAATCTTGGGCAATTAGGCAAGCCTGGGCTCTCTTGTACAATGTATACATATTGTATATGTAAATGTTCTGAAAAAGCAGATCGCGTGCCGTCAAATGCCCATTAGAAACGATGAACATCATTATCAATCGGCCGATCAAAATTGAAAATGAAAGAAATTCCACAAATCACTTCCGACACAAACTTTTGCTTATGGTTTCGTCTCTCTGTCCGTTGCTCATATATCAATTTGCAAGTGATGAATGAAATATAAAAAGGACCCTGCAATGCATGGGAAATATTTTTTCTCTTTTTCGTTCATATATAAAGCAAAATTAAACCTTGTCCTAAACATCACACGGATCTCGATGAATACTTTTCTTAAAAACCCAGCGTAGATTTCAGCTTTCGTTTAATTAATTTGCGGCATTCCCTATATTTAACGAGCGAAAACATGACCCTGCAAAGCCGCACTTGTGGACACTGTAGTGATCTTTTCAGGAATTCTCGTCACAAACTTATCTGTTATTCAATCAAAAATTGTTGGAAATGCCAGATCTTGAAGATGATAATAATTTCAATGATTATTAGATTATGACTAAAAGCTACAAGCGCCATTTTTTGTTAGTCGAAGCTTAAACTCAGTCAGGCAGAGCCGACCGCCAGCTAATACCCAATATTACTTTACGATTAATACAAGTCTTCACTTCACTTATTTTTGTTGTAAAAAAAAAAAATGAAAAAATTCGACAATGTTTCCTTATAAAGGCTGACTTTTCATGAGAATCATTTAAGAAAGTGAATTTCTCTAAACAGTTCCAGTTACTATTCTACAACCGTTTCCAGGCACTAAAAAGCCACTAAAAATTCGTACTTTCTTTATAAGTGTTTACGTTCTCTAAAAACTTTTCATAGGATATAGTTGAAATGATAATGGGATCTTGTGCAAAATATTACGTTACGGTCGTACAAATAATCCGATTCAACAACGCTCGTCCGTGGACCAAAACATGTCAGTGTATCAAAATTTTATCTCGAAAATTTGCAACTTCTAAGGTGAGAACACAAAATTACAAATGGACAGATGGACAGAAAGTAATGCTAAAGCAATCCATATAATGAAAGATGATTTTATTTGAATACCTGTGTCAGTGTCGAATACATTCACTTACCTTTAATGTAATTTGTGTAGCACGACTGATGCAAGGTATAGGAAAACATGGCAAAACACTTAGCACATATTGCGGGAATAAAATTAAAAAATAATTTTTGAATAAAAATAAAAAAAAAAAAAAAGTGTATATATTAAGATATTATTGTTTTGTTTTTTTTTTTTAATTCTAGGATAACAAATACGATGTTGGAGGTGGTGAGCCATTCAATACCTTATCCGAGTTGATCGAGCATTATAAACGCAATCCTATGGTGGAAACCTGCGGTACCGTGGTCCATTTAAGACAACCGTTTAACGCTACGCGCATTACAGCGGCTGGCATTAATGCTCGTGTCGAGCAATTGGTTAAGGTAAGGATAAAAATATATATATTTTGCGAAAAAACAAACACAAACATACATTTGACATTTAGGTGATGAAAAAAATGAAAAAAATGAAAAAAACATCACATTTCATTTTTTAATGTTAGTGTTAATTAAATGACCTTAAACGTTAGATCAATATTTTGTTGTTTTTGTTAAAGCTCGTTACAGCCATTTTTAGTCAATGTCAAGAGTAACGTGTAAATAAATTTGTTTATTAAAAAAATGTAAATAGCTTTTCAAAGTTTAGAACTTTTTTGTCGAATTCGCACTAACAACTGATGCAAGTTCGTTCGTTCCATTGTTTAATAAATTTATTGCATTTTTTTGTTTTTTAGGGTGGCTTTTGGGAAGAGTTTGAAGCGTTACAACAAGGCAGCCGTGATATATTCTCTCGGAACGAAGGCTACAAATTGGAGAATCGCAATAAAAATCGCTATCGCAATATCTTACCTTGTAAGTTGAAAAAAAATAAAAAAAATAAAAAAAACTTTTATTAATTTTATGCAAAATTCACAACTTCAGATTTACTTCCTCCTCTATCCGCACGTACGAGGCGCGGTAGGGTAGATTCACTGACACTTGAAAATTTATTCATCAAGATGTACACATAATTAATTACTCTTAGAACATGAAAGATACACACGTGTCCAGCAATTATGTTTAAAGTGTGTGTCTGTCCCTTCCGACAGACATTAGCTAACGTACGGATTACAGCCGCAAAAATTCAGGCAAATATCTAATGATAATATTGCACGAAACAATCGATTCGGTCAAATATTGATTGCAATTGTTTAAAAAATTCAAATTGAGAGATAGTAAGATCGTTCTTGTCGTGGGGGTCATGGCCAGGCGAGTCGTTTCTGTGACGATTTAGAAAAAGTTATTATAACTTTTTACGAGCATTGCCCTGATAACTGAGATAAAGCAAATGCTTTCAATTTTATCGTTTCATTTTCAAATATTTAATGCATTTTTTATCGAGCATTTTCTGGAAGACCCGATAAAAGAAGAAAATGAAATTAACGAATATTTTTGGAATTTTGTATTCGATTAGCGTTTTAAATTTTATTTTTTTATTTTTTTTTTTTTTTAATTTTATTTAGTTTTTTACATTTAAAAAATGTCTTCTTCTTAACTTTTTTTTTTTTTTAGATGATCATACTCGAGTTAAATTGATCGATGTTGATCATAGTGTCGCCGGAGCTGAATATATTAATGCTAATTATATACGCTTACCCACCGATGGCGAACAGAGCATCAATATGAATGCGTCCCAAGAAAGTTTGAATGCTATGATGGTTACCTCCTGTCCCGCCTGTACTGCTGTTCAAGTGCAAAAAAGTTGCCCCAATTGTCAAATTTTGAATAAGACCTGTGTCCAGTGTGCTGTGAAAACTGCCACCATGCTTTATAGTAATTGTGTGACGTGTGGTAAGAAATCGGATAATTCGGGTAAACATAAACGCAGCGAATCCCTAACGAATGCTGTGTTAAATGCCAGTAATTTAAATGGTTTGTGTGCGATACGTTCAACGAATAATACCTCCGCACCGGCCCACAATACCGGTAGCAATGGTATTGCGGCTAGACCTTCCCTAGGCGGTAATGTTTTACATAAAAAATTGAGCAGTGATTTAACGGAACGAGAAATGTTTAAAACCTACATAGCTACGCAGGGCTGTTTGGCTAATACGATCACCGATTTTTGGAATATGATCTGGCAGGAGAATACACGTGTAATTGTAATGACAACCAAAGAATTTGAACGCGAGAAGAATAAGTGCGCGAAATATTGGCCCGACGAGGGACAAACAAAACAATTTGGACCCGCGAGGATACAGTGCGTGTCAGAGAATTCCTCGCTGAGAGATTATACGTTAAGGGAGTTTCTATTCTCCTGGCGTGATCAACCCGAGCGACGTATTTATCACTATCACTTTCAAGTTTGGCCTGATCACGGTGTGCCCACTGATCCCGGTTGTGTTTTGAATTTCCTGCAAGATGTTAATACCAAGCAAAGCCAATTGACTCAAGCTGGTGAGAAACCCGTAAGTAAAATGATTTAAAAAAAAACAAAAAACAAAAGAACATTTTAAAAAAGGACGAAGAAAAATCTAAAAATTTCTTTTCATTTCTATCTAGGGACCGATATGCGTGCATTGCTCTGCTGGAATAGGTCGCACTGGCACATTTATTGTGATTGATATGATTTTAGATCAAATCGATAAGCATGGTAAGTAAGCCTTAGACAAAATTTCTTTTCATTATTTTTAAACAATAAGTAAGAAAATTATAATCGATTGTGATTGAATCTTTTATACCCGTCACCGTTATCCTCAAAAGTACAAAAAAAAAAAAAAAAAAAAATATAAAAAAACTAGATTTTCATTCTCTATACTATGAAGTGGGCGAGACTGTTTTTATATATTTTCGAAAATAAAAGTTCTTATCGTATAGGAGCAGGGGGCGTTGTAACCGTGTCCTATCTCTTCTTCATTTTCGCTAACGGGAAAATGTTTACTGCAGATGCTCTACAGTTGGGCAGACGGATAGGACAGATGGACGTATTTAGGCACATTTGAAATTTGAAACTGCCACAAAATGCATAAACTTTATGGAGCTTTTGAATGGGGGCTTGTTTCTGCGCGTTATAAAGGTATTGAAATAAAAATTAAAATTTGATACATTACAGTTTAGGATGGGCGTGGTAAGTCCTCTCTATTTTTGTAAAGATACCACAGCATCGTCGGTAGAATATACCGTCAAGCTTTTGTAAATTTACCTGCTGTAGTTTATGGGTAATGAGCAAAAAACCAATTTTTCATTCCTTTTCAAAAACAGAAATTTTCTCAGTTCACGTGGTACTGTGGCCGTGTTCTCCGATCAATGTGGCCCATTTTCAATACCAATCTGCATGCACGAACTTAAAATGTAATATGATAGCTTCATATTTGCGACCAGAAGAATGTTTACAACCGATATTACACCGATGGACAGACGGACAAAGAAGATGGACGGCCAGACGGACGTGCTGAAATTCATTCACAATTTGATGACAATCAAGAATATATATACTTTATGGAATCCCTAAAGCTTCCTTCTGGGTATTACAAACCTTTGGAAAAAATGCATGTACCTCTCTCAACCTTCATGGTGATGGAGATGAAAAAAAAAGATCTTGCATCTGTATTGTTCTATTAATGGTTGATAAAATTGAAAGGAGAAGTGTTTTTCTGCCTTCTAGAGAAAAGTCCATTGCATTCAGATGCAGATTAGTGTTGGGAAACAAAGCCTGTTTGTCAAATTGTTTGCTTATTCGCACTTTAACACATAGTTAAGATGTAAATTATGTTGAACCTTTTCAGTTCCATTTACGGTTTAGTGCAGGGCCGTCACCGTTTATTGATTATTTGGGGTTTAATTGAAAAGATCGTTGCCATCATTGAATAATGCGAAGCGGTTATATAACAAACGTCATCGTAAATTTCATAGCTTTCAACTCACGCCCAATTCTCTTGCACACTCTTGTGCACATTGTACACACTTGCTGATCTGTCAATATTTACTTGTAATGAATTATGCTGAGCGGGTGTTCTGCGGGTGTTTTAACGATGAACTGCAGCATTTTTTCAACCCTATCGTCACGATAGTCTACCTTTGTCTCCAATGTTAACTACAAAAACGGTTTATACTAGATGTGCAAAATAGTGGCGAAATATTTAAAGGCAACCAAAATATTGCTCGGAAAGTGTTTGTAACAAGTCTAAGAATCTAAATTGATTAATCTGTCCGTCTTCCGGTATATTTTTGTGTTAACATGCTTAACATGCTTGTAAATTAACTTAGAAAACTGAAACTTTACTCGTGGATTTTATAAACAGATTGATCAAGAATAAAATCAAGTCTAAAAGTATAGTTTTCTTGGAGTACTTGACATGCTGTAAGAGAATTAAAAGAATAGTTTCGTAGATTCAATATATAGGACATGACTCGGAAAAGGCATCAAATCCCCCTTTTTATTATTATTAAAAAAATTATATTAGGGTGACGGGAAAATTTTGTCGTATAACGTTTTATAAAATAGCAAATCAAATGTTTGGATTTGCAGATGGTTGATGCGTTCCTCAGCAATTGAATGGTGGATGTGCGAGCGCCCCGTTGCAATCGCAAAATGATTAGATATGACTTCCGCTATAACATGGATCGCAAAATATCATTATCGCCTAGATTGACGATCTTCTTTGCGACTGAAATCTCTCGAACGAAATTTGACAAGCCAGCTTTGGCAGGGGCGAACATTTACAAAGTCGCGTGATACAAGTTTTTACAAGTAACCGGTGGGTTGCTTTCATCCCGGAACGCACCTCAAATGCCATGTCCTTAAATGCACTTTATCCGTTGCCGTCGGATTGATTTTACGCTTTGCCACTAACAAACGAGAGATATTGAAAATAATTCTCTGATATCGCATGATAGGTACGCCAAATAATAAGATCATCTTGGCTTGACGAGCGAAATTTTCTGTAGATAATAAAATAATGCAGAAATTCTACGCTGAGCTAAACACCCTATATTACTTATGGTATATTATGGGTATATTAAGTTTGTGCAGATGTATGCAACATTCAGAAGAACTTCAGAGAGATCCAGCCCAGACAAACTAAGCTTATCTGCCCGTCTGTCCGTTTTCCGCTTTGATATATTTCTGAGATATTTTGATGAAATTGTATCACATTTTGACACAAGGGCGACTGCTATTGACAATATTTTGGATTGCGGACTACTTGTTCGACCATTTACCATATGACATTTTATATTGATACGTTGTTGTATGAATAATAAACATAAATTTTCATATTTTATATATCAGCACGACGAACTTGAAAGCGAGCATAGTCTGTGCTCGTCGCTTTTGTAGCGGATGTGAACGCAAATTTCCTTACAATTACTTTCTATCAAAAAAATAGTTCTAACCGATTCACTGATAGGTCTTTTATCTATTTTTTCCAAGACGGTCTTTCGGTATTCAAAATTGTTTTTCATGGATTTTAAATCCTTTAATTTTTTTTTTTTTGTTCATAAAAAAAAAAGTATACTTGTAAGTGTGTAATAATTGTTTTTTTCAACTTTTTTTTTTTTGTTTTTTTTGATAGGCTTAGATACTGAAATAGATATTCAACGCACAATACAAATGGTTCGTTCACAACGTTCTGGCTTAGTACAAACCGAAGCACAATATAAATTTGTTTATTATGCTGTGCAGCATTACATACAAACACTTATACAACGTAAACGTGCTGAAGAGCAAAGCATACAAGTTGGACGGGAATATACAAATATTAAGTGAGTCCAACCGAAATTGTGCATTTGTGTATGCATGTGTGAATTACATTCCTCCCCCACTCCTCTTCATTCCGTAGATACACAGAAATTGGAAATGATACGCAAAGATCTCCACTACCACCAACTATTACTAATATAAGTTTAGCAAATAAATCGATAACATCGGCAACAGTAACAGCAGCATCTATAGCGGCGACACCAGTACCAGTACCCGTAGTTGTAAATTCTGGAATGGGTGCCGCCAGCAGCACCGTATCGATCGGTGTTGTATATAATCAAAATGAAAATGTTGGTCATAATACTAAACAGAATTTTACTAAAATGCCTTTACCGTCACCAACACAAACAAATAATCGTCAAAAACAGATAACAGCAATAACGACAACAACAGCAACAATAACAAATCAACATCAACAACAACAGCAACAACAGCAACAACAGCAACTTTATAGTAACGATATTTTTCAAACAACAACGCTAACATCAATAACAACAACTGCAACCGCAACAACGCCCAAACACAACGAACATAATAATACAACAACAATTAATATACAACAACAGCATAATCAAATATCAACGGCAGCGTCATCAATGGCATCAGGTAAGCAGGTGTCAACACGGCCCGGTTTACTCAAATTGTTTACTCCCATCATTTTTCAGCCTACGAAAACATTCCCAAAGACATCATGATGAGGCAACAATATGTGACGCCTCCTCTACCACCCCCTCCTACGCCACCGCGTAAAACATGACAATTTAAATTTGTTTAAAATATAAAACAATCAATCCTTCTCTCTAGAGTCCCCCTCAAAACAAAAACAAAAAAAA